GAAAATATACAGCAAAGAGGGTACACGAGCCAGGGGGAATCCAGCAGGATTTTCACGAGCACCATGTGACAGGGTAGAAAAATAGCTGACAATGGGTGGTCTCAAAAACCTAAGCAGAAGACAGACCTGGTTATTATTTGAATAGTCCAGAGTGCTACAGGGAGTCAGAAATCAAAAAGCATAACAAAATAGCCATTTTTCCATTTTATTATCAGGGAAACCACAGTTTTAAATCTTCAGCAAGCCCAGCAATGAAAAACGAGCAAACTTTATCGTAGATAATGTTGATAAACGTTATGAATTACCTGACCACGTAACAAAGGCACATAATTTTTCTTCGGGGGCAGCACAAGTCGAACCAAAAACAATGTTTTTCTCCTTCTGGATTTTCTGAATCCACTTGGAAAATTGGGATAGGCTTATATGCAGAGGAACTCCTTCATCAACTTGATTCTTAATTGAAAGAAAAAAGATCTTGTTGATAACATTCAGAATCTAGATTTAGATATGATTTTATCGACACTGATATTGATATTCCTGATTGGACCATGAAGTCAAATTCTACCAGCATTGTATAAGAACCAAAAAAAATTAAAAATCCTCTAATACACAAAATGGTGAAAACAACCAATATATATCCATTTTAATTTGATTTCCAAGACTGCACGCTTTAATGAATAGAAATGAACAGCTGAAAACAGAGAAGAATTTAAATCAGCAATTTTAAAAGGATTCAATAGAAATGAAAACTTTTTCAGTGATTGCTAGAGCCTTGGAGCATCAAAGGAAAGTCATATTGTGATGATAAAAGAAATATGTTCAAGCCAGCAAGCAAATTCCTTTAAGAACATTCATCAAAAGTTAAGTAAAATGCTTTAAAACAAAATGTAACTAATAACTCTTGACTGCAATCTACTGAAATTATACCTGTTTTATTCCAGTTAGCTCAATACAAAATTCAGAGAGAGTTGGATGTTCCTGGGGCTGGATGTACATATGAAATTCAGTCTCAATTTCTCCATTTGAGGTGTTTAAGAGAACTGCTGGAAATTCAACTATGTCAAAAAAACAAAAAAACAAATAAAAGATTATATTAGTTCTAGCACTATGTAAACAGTAAGCCATGAAGTTGATCAGGCTAATAATACAATCTCCATCTAACCTTAGTTTAAATCACAGAGCTATCATTCAGATAGCAAAGATGTAAAGAATGAATTTGAAGCACATTGCATTCTTCTTAAGAGGAATAAAAATTCAAACTATTGTGCTTATACCGGATTCAAAGCTGGGCCGAACATTTCAGCAGGTTTTTAGCAGCACCTTATCAAAGAATTTACAGCAGAGGGGAACAACAGAAACAGACCGTGAAGGGGTGTGTGGGGGGGTCTCTAACAATGCTTTTCTAACAGTGCCATTGTAACTTCAAACCATCACTAAATGAAGGTTGTGTGTCAAAGACTAACTGCATTTGCGTGAACTATGTTCAAGCCTTCTCTTTGCCCCCCCCCTTCATACGGAAGCAACTGTTAAAATTATTAAGGCTTGACTTACTTATTTCTTGACATCTTCGGCCATCCTTCCAGCAGGTGGACTCAAAATCAATAATTATTAAGTAGTCAAACAGTTGCCCTGCAATATTGGGGGGAAAATCATATATTATCTCATTGTCATAACCTGCAAATAATAACACTGACTTTGTGAAGTTAGTGGCATACTCACGCAGCTTGCGTTGGTTGTGACTTTGGCCACCAGGAGAGGGTTTAGAAACACTTCGAATAATGCCCAGCTGCCTATCAAACAAAAGAAAGAGACAAAAATCCATCATTGCAAATTTTACAGGGTTAAAGCAAAGGTCCCATTAGGATGTAATTCAAGGCCATTCCTGTTGGGTTTTTTCCCCTTTGGCAACTTTAAGACCTGTGGACTTCAACTCCCAGAATTCCCCAGTACCTATGCTGGCTGGGGAATTCTGGGAGTTGAAGTCCACAAGTCTTAAAATGGGCAAGGTTGGACACCCCTGAATGTAAAGCTCCTGTATTTTAATGACTTAGGGTTCATGCTGGCTGGGGAATTCTGGGAGTTGAAGTCTAGAAAGCTTAAAGTTGCAAAGTTTGGAGACCCCTGCTCTACAGCTTGGTCCAAACGGGGGTTGCAGCCCCAACCAACCGAAAGGTCGACGCCACCTGGGCCCCTTACCTGGCCAGCTGCCTCGTCGCCATGGCAACCGCCGCCCCGCGCCCCGGTCCCACCCGGCTCGCTCTAGTCGGCGGCCGCCATTTCAAACAGCCCGCCGCGGTGCAGGCCCCGCCTCCTCCCCTCGATGCTTTCGGCCCATCGACTAAGAAGGTCTGCCGCCTTCCATTCGCTCTCTTGCTTCCTCCTCTAAAGCGTCGGCAGCTATGCGAGGGGCGAGGCTGGCGGCGGCTCAGGCCCGAGCAGACGATTGCCGAGCAAGGATTCTCCTCGATTGCAAGAAGGGCTTCCCTGGGAATGGGGTGCAGAGATCCAGGTCAGGCTTCTCACTAACTTCATTTTTTCCCCCTTGTCCCCCATTTTTTTTAATGGGGAGTGGGTGTTAGCAAGGAAAGGCGATCCCAGGTTAATTGTTGGGAGGCAGTTGCTTGCAGGCGAGAGAAGATAGATTGCAATTCTCCCTTACACGTGTTTGCAGGCTCGCACGTGGTTGCCAGCCCTTGAGAATTGCACGGCTGGAACCACGCGCTGCTTTAGAGCAGCTTGCTCCAGCTTTAAACCTGCTGCTTTTACACTGCTGGACCACTCTCCCCATACCCCCCCCCCCCAGCCAGATTTAAAATCAAGGGGAACTTGCTGATCTCCACCTGGTTGGGGATTATGGGAGCTGCTGTCCCGCAGGCGAGGCTGGGTGCAAAAAGGGTGCTGAGAGCTGCTGTTTATTTTATATTATGATCATGGCCTTAATTACATTATGCAAGTTGTCATTTCAATGCGATATTAGCCACTTTAAGGTGTGTGGACTTCAACTCCCAGAATTCACTGTGAGCATGGAGGCAGGGGAATTCTGGGAGTTCACTTTAAAGTTGCCAAGTTTGGAAAACATAGTTGCAATCCATGTTTGTAGAATAGTTCAAAGCACTAAGTAATGTAGCTGCCTCTGCTACTACTTTCATTTGCTGTTCTCATTAATTGGATTATTTACATTATATGATTCATATTACTTACATATTACCTTCGAACAGAGAGTCTTATTACTGTATGGAGGGAAAAAATCTTATTTGCATCTCTATAAAATTAGATTGGATTAGATTGGACTAGACTAGACATCGATGGATATATAGATATGGATGGATGGAGATAAATAGATATAAATAGATGGTAGACAGACTCTGGAAAGAGTACAGAGAAGAGCAACAAAGATGATTAGGGGACTGGAGGCTAAAACATATAAGGAAAGGCTGCTGGAATTGGGTATGTCTAGTTTAACGAAGAGAAGGATGAGGGGGGACATGATAGCAGTGTTCCAATATCTCAGGGGCTGCCACAAAGAAGAGGGAGTCAAGCTATTCTCCAAAGCGCCTAAAAGCAGAACAAGAAGCAACGGATGGAAACTGACCAAAGAGAGAAGCAACCTAGAACTAAGGAGAAATTTCCTGACAGTTAGAACAATTAACCAGTGGAACAACCTGCCTCCAGAGGTGGTGAATGCTCCAACACTGGAGGTTTTTAAGAAGAAACTGGACAGCCATTTGTCCGAAATGGTATAGGGTTTCCTGCCTGAGCAGGGGGTTGGACTAGATGACCTCCAAGGTCCCTTCCAACTTTATTATTATTATTATTATTATTATTATTATTATTATTATTATTATTATAACAGATGTTTTTTCATTAGTTTATTACTTTTTTAAATTATTTTCTGTACTGTTTTTGTTTAACAGATAAATTCCACCTGAAGAGAGATTTATAAAATAAAATGATCGCACAAACTAGTGAAGTTGTAAAGAAAAGGTATTGTGAAGATGGGGAAACTGGAGGAGAGAACCGGAAGGCTAAAAAAAAGAGGAAGACTGAGAGAAATGACATTTGCCCAGCTCATCAGAACATTAAACTTTCCGGTGAAGTAAGATTTGTTTATGGATATATTATTCCAGAGGATTGCATGTTTTAGTTTACCATTCCCCACATTATTGTTTTTTTATCAATTTAAATATTGGGTGGAGTTTCCAAATGTTTTTCTGGCTTTGCTTTAGTTTGTGCCTTTTAAAGTTTTTGTATCATTAGTCCTTCTGAGAGGTTTGCTGTAGTGTAGGGGGTTTCAGTCTGTGTTATATTTTTAATGCTGCACTTCGTTGTTTATATCTATGAATCATAAAAGTTATAATTAGAATGATGTATTATTCCAGTTGGCTGTTCTTACATCTTTTTCAGCTTTGCCTTTTTTTCCCCCCAAGTTTCATATCCAGAATTAGACAGAAGTTTAATAATTTGAATACTGCAAAAGCTCCAGGAACTTTTTAGAAGCTGCTTGCATTTTGTCCATAGCTGAATTTGTCAATGTGGGAGGACTGTTTTTATAAAATTACCTCTGGGACTAAAGTTATTTGGCATTTATTGTGTTTATGTAAATGATGTCCAAGCTTTGTGAAGTTAATGCATATCTAACAAGTTCGGTCTATTAACTGTGTTTCCCCTTTGCCTCTGTGTGTGTGTTTTTGTGGCATCCTTTTGCAAGAAATGAATTGTCCTTTCTGGATGTTATTTGTGGGAATGGGGCCTTGTCTCCTGATATTTTCTTTGGGAATGGTAACACTCCTGAATCAATTCTCTTGGTTTCCAAGGTGAACCCACCCCGTTTCTCTGCTCAAATGTTTGGAGAAAGCCAAATCAGCTATGAGCAACTGGGTGAATTACTGAAGTATGCCACAGAGGGAAAACATCACAATGTCACTCAGCCCAGGTAAATGTGCTTTTAACCTTATGCAAGGTATCTGTCCATCTTAGGTGTTCAAACAGTACAGGTAGTCCTGACTTAAAACAGTTCATTTAGTGCAGGGGTCTTCAAACTTGGCCCTTTTATGACTTGTGGACTTCAGCTCCCAGAATTCCTCCCCTAGCTTGCTTGGCTGAGGAATTCTGGGAGTTGAAGTCCACAAGTCTTAAAGTTGCCAAGTTGGGAGAGCCCTGTTCTATGAGACCAACACCTGCCATACCACTTGCTAGATCATTCACTGGAGAGCCAGGGTTTCTGTTTCCTAAATGTTTAGAATAATAACTGAGAAATAGATTTGCGCGGGCTTGGCTGGTTAAAGGAACATAAGAGGTAATTGTGGCCCCTTGTGGTACAGTTGGTGTCGTATCCACCACCGAAGGCAGCTGGCTGGTGTCGTAGTGATAATTTTGCATCACGTGGATCAGCTCCATTTCTACCGATACTACCTGCAGTTCAAACATCTCCGAAAGACCTTCAAACACGTAAGTCATTGAACTTTATCCATTTGGTGAGATGGCTAGTCTAGGAAATTGTGTATTATATGGCAGCATGGAGACCTCGTAGACCAATGAGCCTGACCTTGGGTCTAAAATAACTCACAGTAGAACCGAACAGGAGCATAACAAGGGAAAAGTCCAATTCCAACCCCCTACTCAGGCAGGAAACCCCCTATACCATATATAAAACTCCTTCCTCTTCCTATTTTCCCCATAACAACAACCCTGTGAGGTGGATTGGGTTGACACAAAGTGTCTGGGCCAAAGTCATCCAGCTGGCTTTCATACTTAAGGCAGGATTAGAACTCACCGTCTCCTGATGATTGGCCCAAAGTCACCCATCTGGCTTTCATGTCTAAGGCAGGACTAGAACTCACTGGCTCCCAGTGATTGGCTCAAAGTCACCCAGCTGGCTTTCATGCTTAAGGCAGGACTAGAACTCACCGTCTCCTGGTGATTGGCCCAAAGTCACCCATCTGGCTTTCATGTCTAAGGCAGGACTAGAACTCACTGGCTCCCAATGATTGGCTCAAAGTCACCCAGCTGGCTTTCATGCTTAAGGCAGGACTAGAACTCACCATCTCCTGGTGATTGACCCAAAGTCACCCAATCAGCTTTCATGCCTAAGGCAGGAGTAGAAGTCACCATCTCCTGGCTTGTAGCCTGGTGCCTTAATTAAAATTAAAATCTAATAGTTTATTTACCAGGGTGGTGTGCTTTACCAAGGCAGGCAAAAATCTCCTGAAATCACCGTTTCTTTCAGCAGAACAGAAGTAACTGCAACTTTTCCCAATGCCATTATTGATTTTTTTTTTCTTTCTTTTTTCTTTTTTGCCTGCCCTTGCAATTCTCTGCTGTAACAGGATACTTCGAACCAGGGAGGCTGACGGAGTGATTGGGGGGGGAAACAGTTTTGGAGCCACAAGGAAACATATGGCTCTAATTTAGAGGGTATTCAAGACTTTCCAGGAACAAGTTCAGCCTCCAATTCTTCTCAAGAACGATCTTTCAATTTTTTTCCTCTTTTTTTTTCCTTTTTCCTCTGGCTGCTGCCTGGAAGTCGAGGTCATTAATACGACGGCTGGGTTGACACAAAAGAAACTTGTTTTTCTTGGGAATTTTCCCCAGAAAGGGTTATCTGTCTCTCCCGGACCTTCCCCCCCTTTTTAAACAAACCAGCCCACAGTTTGAGAAGGTTAGGGGGGGAAAAAAAAGCCACTGTTGTTTTGACCACAAAGCCCAGGCTTTTGCAAATGAATTTTTTGAGCTTATTGGCGTGTGATTAAAAAGTCTGCTCCCCCTTCTCTCACACACACACACAAAAACACATGAGCACAGCTAGGAGATATCATCGGAGCTGCTTCGTGGTCATAAATTGTGTTTGCAAGGCGCTTGAGGAGGAACTGAAACTCTAAAAACAATAGCGAAGGCAGCATCAATCACTGGGTTGTTAAAGGGAAAGGAAAATAATTCCTCAGAACATTTAGCCAGAAAGTGTCTGGGGCCCTTCTGAACATTTAATTACACCCTGTGCTTCTTAAGTCTTAAATTTGTATTTATGAAATTATTGAAGAAGCCACTTCTTTTCCCTGGAATTATTCTTAAAAACAAATGCCTTTTTGTTTGTTTGTTTGTTTCAAGGCCATGTCATGGCTGATTAGGTGTATTTGTATAGGTAGTCCTTGATATAGGACAGCCGAGGCAACTTTCATCAGAAAATTCTAAATGCCCCCTTCCTCTGACAGAATATATGGAAAGGAATGTGGTGTTATGTCACTGTCTTCCTTTTTGCCTCTGTTCTATGTCTTTGATCAGCGTTTCTGTCTGCCTGCCCTTTCTGGTGACTTTATCGAAAAACCTGGTGGATCGGGCACAAACAACTGTCAACAGCTCAGCAGGGAAGGTATTAATATATTAATATAACATATTTCATCCATACCTTTGTGATTTCCTGAAAGTCCAGGTGGATACATCTGGTGTGCAATGCCTACAGGTAATCCTCGACTTAACGACCACAATCGCGATTGAAATTTCAACCCAAAGCCATTGCGGTCATAAGTTGGGTTGGACTCAATGGTCATAAGTTAAGTCTGACCCTGTTTTACGACATGATTACAACAGTGGCTAAACAAACCATCCTGGTCATTAAGGGAACACCACCATTGTAAATGTGAGAATTGGTCATAAATATGAGAACTGGAGTTTGTATGGCACCATTGTAGCTTCAGACAGCCACTAAGCAAATGATTGTAAATGGAGGACTACTTGTATAGTCTATATTACAGGGGTAGGCAAACCTGGCTCTTTTATGACTCGTGGACTTCAACTCCCAGAATTCCTGAGCCAGCATGGGGGAACTATGGCCCCTTCATGACTTGTGGACTTCAACTCCCAGAATTCCTGAGCCAGCATGGGGGAACTATGGCCCCTTCATGACTTGTGGACTTCAACTCCCAGAATTCCTGAGCCAGCATGGGGGAACTATGGCCCCTTCATGACTCGTGGACTTCAACTCCCAGAATTCCTGAGCCAGCATGGCTCAGCTTGGAAACTTCTCCCTTTCCCCTCAGCATGGCTGGTTCAGGAATTCTGGGAGTTGAAGTCCACGAGTCATAAAAGAGCCAAGGTTGCCTACCCCTGGTCTATAACCTGTATCTTTGTGCAAATGATTTGGCCTTGTATAAATCATGGGTGACTTTTTTTAAAACAACAACAACAACAGCCAAATTGTGCCCCTTTATGAAATTGGGCTGCTTGAAACGGATTCATTTAAAAATTCCCTTATTTCTAAAGTGCTTGGTTTCCAAGCAGAGAATAAATGGGAAATACTGTCTCAGGCAGAATGTAGTTAAACAACAAATTGGCATATGTGAAGAATGAAAATGTGTTGTTTTTTTATTATTATTGCTGGTCTTCTTGCAGCTTGATTTTATTTTACGGTTATTTTTTTAATGTATCGAAAGGGGCATTGTAGATATTTTATGATACCTTAATTTTACTTTGATTATACTGGCCACTGCCCTGTAACCATTGAATTGGTGGATAAGCAGCAGTAACCCGTAAAATAAACCAAATGACATGTAAAAAAACCCCCTTTTTTCTTCTCAAAATACATACATTGAAGAGACTGCTGACAGAAAAGGGGCAAAAATGCTAATATGGCTATTTAGAGCAAATGTGTCATTGGTTTCAGAGATGGATGAGGATCCCATAATTCAGAAATACGCCGAAAAGGGCTGTAGTCTCTCAAGTTATATTTTAACTGGCGAGGAGATGCTACTCCATGATTACCCTATAAAAGGTAAGCTGTCTTAGAATCCACATATATGATCAATTTCTGGATGTCCAGAAGAGGGACACATCATAACCTTAGTAGTTAGAACTAGACTACCTGCTCTTTCAGAAATTTGGCCTTGCCTAAATGGGGAAACAATGACCACAGGTGGGCAAAAAAAGCAGTGGAAATAGAAGTTATTTCTGACTTCCCACTGGCTTCCCTATTGAGTCTTCTTGTGGGAATCTGGAAATCTTCCCTTCTCTTCCCTGTCCTCCCCTCCCCTGCAGGCAGATAAATGACTGCTGCTGAGTGGGGGAGGGAATGAGGGATTGCAAGAGTGACTGGGAAACTGTCACAGAACGTTGAAACTGAAAGTTGCTTTTAGCACAGCAGCAGCCGCCGCCACATTCTCCAAATTTTAATTCTCTTGAGGGTCATGAATCCCAAATTTTGGATGCATTCTGTAAGTTAGCCCATTTGAGGTACCTTGGATCAAAAGCTGTTGTCCTAGGATGCATTGTTTCGCCCAGTTAAAGGTCATGAGAATGAGAATTTTAGGGGTATTTAGATAAATAAAATTATTCATTTGATTGTCTGTTCCTTCCAAAATGATAACAGAATGATAGTTCTAAGCTGGGTTTTTTCCCCTCTAGTCCATGATTGGCACAACAGTTTCTGCCATCCTTTATTTCTTCATTTTTATGGTTATGAGTCACATAGAGTAGCCCCAGGGAGAGCTATTATTATTATTGTTGTTGTTGTTACAAACACTTGAACACCATCGGCATTGGCAAATTTACCAACAATCAATTGCAAAAGGTTTGGTTTACTTGGAACAGCTTGCATCCTGCAACAATACTTTTAACACCACCAAACAACCACATCTGTCTCTCCCAGATCCTTGGGAAGGACTCAGTGGGTAGACAAAAATGCCAAATTTAGTCTAAACATCTGGCTGACTGTGCAACAAACCATAATAATAATAATCCATGTCTAGGATCCATAGGCTGCACTGTGCTGGCTAGCCCTTTTGCAAATGTGACGGTTGTTCATTGCTTCTCCAGGGTGTGCTGACTGCAGCCATTTTGTCCAGACTCACTGCAACGGCCCGGTTACAGATAGCAGCCCCCTCTTTGGATTGGACTGCGAAATGGTATTTATTTTGTGTTGCGTTACTCTCCTTCCCCTTGCAAAGGGCTGGATCTCAGCAAATAAGAAAGGATTTCTTACTTATAAAAATGTACCTTGAAGTTTTCAGTTCTTGATTCGGGGGACAGCTCTAATTTGTGACTGAGTGCATGCAAAGCTCCCCAACTTCATTTCCAGCCAGGAAGGGAAAGGATCAGTGGTAGGATTCAACCGGTTCGCATCACTTTGGCAGAACCGGTAGCTAATTTTTTGTTGCCCAGGCCCAGAATGGACTTCCGAAAGTGGCATCCACGCAGAGAACTGGTTGTTCACCTATTTGAATCCCACCACTGGAAAGGATGACATTTGAGAGGTGTTATCCTTCCGTAAAAGAATCCATCAGTTCAGCGTCTCATTGGAGGGAGGAAAGGACCACCAAGAATCATTAGCCTTTTTTCACCCTTTTTCATTTTGACCAGTGTCTCACCGATAAGGGGTCAAAACTCACCCGGATTGCAGTGGTGGATGCTAGCGGACGGTGCCTTATGAATGAGCTGGTCAAACCCGAATGGCCAATAAGGAATTATCTTACCTGGTATGTTGCTTAAAGCTATAAAACTGTTGTAAAAGTTGGACGTTATCCAGGATTTTGAAGGTTTTTGGCACGGTAGTTGCTTAAAATGAATGTTCCTCAATTGGATACAGCTTCTTTTTGAAGGCCAAGCCACATATTTAGATAAGGTGTGTGCATGTCTGTTTGTTTTAAACTTTTTTTTACACCCTGGCTGTGTTTACGCAGGAGAGGTGTGTGATTGGGACCATGGTATGTGGGTATGTAATCTGGATTCCCAGAGGGCAGAGAGGTCTTACTAGGAACCGCCTCCATCCTGCGACGATATCTGTAATACCATCAAACATCCACATTTGCCTATCCCAGGTCCTTGGTAAGGACTCAATAGGTAGACAAAATGCCAAATCCAGTCTGAACATCTGGCGGACTGTGTGATCATCATCATCATCATCATCATCATGTTGGAGGGGACCTTGGAGGTCATCTAGTCCAACCCCCTGCTTAGACAGGAAACCCTATACCATTTCAGACAAATGGTTGTCCAGTCTCTTAAAAACTTCCAGTGTTGGACCATTCACCGCTTCTGGAGGCAGGTTGCTCCACTGGTTAATTGTTCTAACTGTCAGGAAATTTCTCCTTAGTTCTAGGTTGCTTCTCTCCTTGGTTAGTTTCCATCCATTGCATCTTGTCCTGCCCTCAGGCGCTTTGGAGACTAGCTTGACTCCCTCTTCTTTGGGGGTAGCCCCTGAGATATTGGAACACTGCTATCATGTCCCCCCTCGTCCTTCTCCTCATTAAACTTGACTTGCTCAATTCCAGCAGCCGTTCCTTGTATGTTTTAGCCTCCAGTCCCCTGATCATCTTTGTTGTTCTTCTCTGCACTCTTTCTAGAGTTGAGCTTAACTGTGTTCGTAAGTTGAGGACTTACCTGTACAGGTATTGTTATCTGGGCTGGAATCTATTACTTTGTTGGAAGACTCTCGTTGGAAAGCGTCATCTCAGACGGCCCTGAAATGTTGTTTTTGTTGTGTTTTGAAGCTACTCCGGCATCACAGAGAAGCTGCTTCAGCCGGTGCAAACCACCCTCGCAGAAATCCAGGCCCGATTAAGGAATATGCTGCCTCCTGACGCCATTTTGGTGGGCCATTCCCTAGATGCTGATCTCCGAGCTCTAGAAGTGAGTATATCGATTCCACAGTCTCAGCCCACCAGGTCTTGGCCTAAGGTAGCGGCCTCCAAATGGGGCAACTTTTTAAGACTTGTGGACTTCAAAAATGGAAGGGGACGTTGATTCCCACAAGGAACAGCTGCAAAAGTTGATGGAGTTAGCAGAGAAGGCTAATAGACTGCTTTGATCGAAGAAGAAAAAAAAACCACACAATTCCTTTTGTTTGCCCTTGGAAACCACTTCTGGACTTTGTGCTCGAGGTGGGGGGGAAAACGAAACTTTGATTTGGGGTTTTACCATTTAGATAGCTTTGTTGTTCTAGAAACTAGCTAGTTTATACTGTTACGTAAAAGTAAAAAGTTGAGGTTTGATGTTATCACCTTATTCTACTTCACCAAAAGGGAGTCGGGAGTATCTTTCTTTTCCCCCCCCCTTTTCCTACACTTTTCCCTCCCCTATTTTTCCGACTATTTTCTTTTGTATTTTTGTCTTTTATATTGTAAACTAATTTAAAAAAAAGACTTGTGGACTTAATAATAATAATAATAATGACTCGTTTGGAGACCCCTGGCCTAAGATACAGAAATAGACTAGAGCAGGGGTAGGCAACCTTGGCTCTTTTAGGACTCGTGGACTTCAACTCCCAGAATTCCTGAGCCAGCCATGCTGAGGGGAAAGAGAGAGGTTTCCAAACTGAGCCATGCTGGCTCAGGAATTCTGGGATTTGAAGTCCACCAGTCATAAAAGAGCCAAGGTTGCCTACCCCTGGACTAGAGCAAAACATTCCAGATCCCGATTTGAAAGCTTTATGTACAGGGGGTCCTCACTATACGACCACAATTGAGATTGGAATTTCTGTGGCTGAGCAAGGCAGTTGTGAGTGAGTTGTGCCCAATTTTATGTCCTTTTTTTTTTTTTTTTTGCCATGTTTGGTAAGCGAATCCCTTCCGTTGTTAAGCGAATCACGTGGGTCGTTAAAGCAAAGCCTGCTTCCCCCCAATGGCTTTGCTTGTCGGAAGCCAGCTGGGAAAGTCCAAAAAATGGCAGTCGTGTGACCCCAGGATGCTGTAACCGCCATAAACACATGCCAGTTTCCAAACATTTTTTTTTTTAAAGTTTTTTATTGTTTTCAACATAGAAAAAAACACATCACAAGTACATCACAATTGAAAACCCCCCCCACCCCCCACCCGGACTTCCCAAACCTAATCCCAGGATACTATTCAACTAAAAGTAACCTTATATTAATATCCCTAACTCCACAAAATATAATTCTACATAAGTAGGTGCAATATATATATATGTAAAAAATTTTTTATCTAAAAACCTAACTTATATTCCACCATTCTATACTTATTTTGAATATAAACAATCCATCTTCTCCATATTGATAAAAATTGTTCATTTGAGTGATCCTTCAAATAAGCTGAAATCTTTGCCATCTCAGCAAGATGCGAAACCTTCACTCTCCAGTCCTCTATTGTAGGTAAAACTTTACTCTTCCAGTTTTGAGCTATCAACAAACGGGCAGCAGTTAAACAATACAACATCAAGTTCGTTTCTTTTACANCATTTGAGTGATCCTTCAAATAAGCTGAAATCTTTGCCATCTCAGCAAGATGCGAAACCTTCACTCTCCAGTCCTCTATTGTAGGTAAAACTTTACTCTTCCAGTTTTGAGCTATCAACAAACGGGCAGCAGTTAAACAATACAACATCAAGTTCGTTTCTTTTACATCCAAATTATGTGTGATACCTAGGAGAAACAATTGAGGCAAAAAAAAAATTCTTCTTTTAAAAACTTGCTGTAAATTCCACCATAATTTTATCCAGAAGGCCTTAATAACCTTGCAAGTCCACCACATGTGAAAAAAAGTTGCATCTTGTTGTCCACACCTCCAGCACTTGGATTCATAGTTCTCATAAATGCGAGACATAGTTGCAGGGTCCATGTGCCATCTGTAAAGCATCTTATAAAAATTCTCGCGTAGATTTTGTGCCTGCGTAAATTTCACATTTCTCACCCATATCAACTCCAAACATTTTGATCACATGACTGGACTGGGGTTTTCATAAATGCGAGGACCGGTTGACGTCCCTTTTTTCAGTGCCGTTGTTAACAGTCACTAAATGAATGGTTATAAGTCGAGGACTCCCTGTAGCTGGTCAAAATGTCGGGGGTTTTGTTTAAAAGACCTTGTTTTCAAATATCTTTCCTTTTTCCCTCCCACATTTCCAGATGATTCATCCGAAAGTTATAGACACTTCGCTTCTCTACACCCGTAAAGGGGGCAGAAGGTTCAAGCTGAAGTTCTTAGCAGCTGCTGTTCTAGGGTAAGATGGTTTGGGTTGAGTGCCTGCCTCCAGGCATGTCTCCTGACACTTTTCAATTAGGACATCTCTGAATTGCTCCCTTTCCAAGGGGAGGGGAGGGTTGCTGACAGATAATTAAAGACTTGTCAGTCCTACAAGTATACCTGCTTAAGGCAAGGGTGTCCAACCTTGGCAACTTTAAGACCTGTAAACTTCAATTCCCAGAATTCCCCAGTTTGAAATTAGTCCTTGGTGGTCCCTGAACTTGATTGTTTTCTTGCAGACGTTTTATTATCAAACTAGATAACACTATCAGTGCTATAAAGGGAGTGGGATTTGCGGGGCGTAGGAGAAGCAAAAGGGGTGAAGAAGGAGCAGGAGGACTACGCTGTCCTTGGTGCTCTCTGAGCTTGGTGGTTTTCTTGCGGATGTTTCACTACCGAACTAGGTAATATCATCGGTGTTATAATTTCCATAGTTTCAACTGGGAAACTGCGTATTCTAGACCCAAAAGTTAAAAAGATTCTTAGACACACTCAGATAAATCAGCCATCAGCAGGCGCATAGAGATAAAGAACATCTACATATCATTCAAAACAGACAATCAAAAAGTCAGAAAGCAATCAAAGAGACTCAAACACCTCCTGGCCAATAATCAACATCCAGACAAACAGAGATTAACCCCAAGAATAACGCTAGACCAATAGTCAGGAAGTAAACAATACCCCAATCAAGCCACCAACTCAGACAACCAAGCTGACAGTCAACAACAGCTGAATCAAGGATCCACTAGGAACACCTCACCAACACTGACACTTGTATATAAACAGAGAACAAACCCTTCTAGCACTGATGAAATTATCTAGTTGGGTAATGAAACGTCCGCAAAAAAAAAAGACCAAAGACCCTCAGTTCAGCCCTGAGCTCCAAATATTCTATCTAAATTCGCCTGCTTCTTTGCTACCCAATAGAGTATGTAAATGTTCATGGGTGTACTACATGCACGGTTCCTTCTTGTAGGAAAGAAATTCAGAGCAAGGCCCAATTGGGTCACGATCCCACCGAAGATGCCCAGTGCGCCCTTGAGCTGGCCCAGTATTTCATTGAACGAGGAGCCAGGAAAGTAGGTATCTTGGCTCTTTTGAGACTGTTGTTTAAGGACAGGAATAAACATATCTTTACACCGTACCCTCCTTGCCGAGTCACTCTAATTGTAATTGTGATCAAAGAGCAGATAATGGATGCCAAGGGGGAAAAAATCCCAGAGTTTTTAAAAGGGGGGAACTAGCAAGCGATCTGACATATAGCAGTAGCACTTAATAGCACTTAGCAATAGCACTTAGACTTATATACCGCTTCGTAGTGTTTTTACAGCCCTCTCTAAGCGGTTTACAGAATCAGCACGTTGCCCCCAACAATCTGGGTCCTCATTTTACCGACCTTAGGGAAGGCTGAGTCCACCTTGAGCTGGGCAGGATCGAACTCCAGGCCGTGGGCAGAGTTTACCTGCAATACTGCATTCTGCCTGCAATTGTAACCTCTTCCCCAATATGTAAGTCTTTATAGGAAGTCCTCAACATTCGACAGTGATGGAGTTTGCCCATTAAGGTTGTATGTTGTGACAGTCACACACTTGTGTCATTAAGTGGGTCATCATGGATGGCGCCCAACCTTACAACCTGTTTTGCTGTGGCCGTTGAAGGAACCCAGTTTGGCCAATGGTTCGATTTTTGCTGGAAACTGAAAGTAAACACAGGTTAAACCCCCGTAAATCCTAAATGTGGACTTCAGTTCCCAGAATTCCCTAGCCAGCATAGGGAATTCTGGGAGTTGAAGTCCAGAGATCTTAAATTTAAGGTGGGTGGGTTGGAGAATGAAGATTGGGACGATGTTGCGAGAGGATCCTAAGTGTCTAAGAATGGACACATTTTCCATCCCTTACAGCGAGACAGGATGGCTCCAGGTGCAAATAAGTAGGAAGACGCCCCTGGAAGTCCTGTGATTGGTACTTAGGCTTGGCTTCAGTGGGAAATAAGGCATTTAACCAACAATCTCAAGAACTGATTGGAAGCAAAACGTGCCGGAGAAGAATTTGTAAGATTAGGGAGGTGTTTTTTTTCCCCACCCTAGGTTGCAGAGCTGAATCTGGAAGCCAGATGGTCAGTGCAAAGGAAGATGGAAGAGTCAGGAACCGGGGTCAAGGCGAAACAAAACGACGGGACCCCAAAAGGGTAAAGAATTCTTTTTCTGTTTTTTTTTTTTAAAAAAAGCCCTGTTGGCTTGAGAAAGTTCGGGTGGAAGTCTTTTGCGGTGTTTTTTGGGTTTTTTTCCCAGTGTCATCGTAACTTCAAATGGTCACTAAACTGTCTTAAGTCGAGGAACATCTGTACCTGTTCAAATGTATTTAACTTCGTCTTTTCTTCTTGTCTTTTAGCCTTTTAGAAAATTTACAGTCTATCGATC